AACCCCAAATTGCTCCCGATGGCCAATAGCAGGGGCGGACTGGGACTACAAATCAGCCTGGGACTCTTGACCGGCCCACCTCGGTACCGCAAGTAATTACCACTAGTAAATTGTCAGCGGGGGGGGGGTGCTAGTGACTTATCCGACCGGCCCACATCGTCCGACCGGCCCACATCGTCCGACCGGCCCACTTCAGTACCGGCCCAACATCCCGATGGCCAGTCCGCCCCTGGCTAAGCCCCACTTCAAATCCTAACTCAATATTCCAACATGTACGTATGTCACAGTGAGAGAGAAAACCAAAGTTGTTTTAAAGAGGCAATGTGTTAACAAAAAAGCTACTATAGAGCCATAATACTCAGTTTATCTTTTCTTAGCCTTAAGTTACCATTTATTATCTGTCTCAACTTTGTTAGGGGATTCAAGTTGAAATGGACATGATCTCCAAGTCAAGCTACTTTTCAATCTGACACATTTCTCCAGAGAATAATCAGAGTTTGAAGTTGCCCAGCTTCTGTTTTCTTTTTTTTAATAAAAGGCCTTCCTTGCAAGATAACTGAATCAAGGTGGTAGCAAAAAGAAGATAAGAGAACAGCAACAATTATGTTTTCTACATAACAGTTAAATAACAGAGTATAGTTTTTGTTATTTTTTTATTAGTATTTGTCAGACTTGTTTCTGAATGGCACCCCACTCATTAAAATAAGGTCAAACCCGTTACAATCTATCTCTCTGACAGTGTTGTTGCTACAGGTTTTCACATCTGATAGAAAGTAAAACAATGGCACTCACCTTAATCCTTGAAGTTAGAATGACACTATAATCAGAATCTGTGAACATGTAGTGCCACCTGCTGGTTGACTTAACCCTTCTGCAAACTAAACATTTTAAAGGTCACCTATCATGCTATTGTTAGGCAATAACATAGGTCTCAGATATATAAAAATATATAAAAAACATGTCTATGAAGTGTTTTGCTCAGAATACCAAACAGATCACCCATTCTAGCCATGCCTCATATCCCTCTATTTCACTTCCTGGTTCAAAAGTGATGATTTGGGGTATAAAGCTTTTTTTTTAAAATGTTGACTGAGGGGGGCTGAGCTCATGTGGGACCCGGCAGCTACTGTCTAAACTAAATACTGCGGTGATGAAAAGCCATATCATGGATTATCAAGGATTCTTTCTGAAACAGTATGGAGCTCAAAGGCTTTCTCTCTTGCCGGTTATACCACAAGGTGAGTTCTTTTTATTTCCTGCTTCTTCACACACATGCTCTCCAGTACAGGTTAGCTCTGAGTGTTAGCGATGCTAATGTAAACACCGACCATATTACGTCCAAAACAGTCGGGCATTGTTTTTGATGGCAACTTTTCTGATAGGCCCGTGGGTCCACATTTCAGATATTACGTCATATCGGACGCAAATCTGGATCAGCTCCGTTGTAGCCCCGTTTTTAGAGATTTGGGTACGGAGGAAAAGAGAGAGGGTTTTATTTTCTGACGCTGCGTGAGTTCCCCGACACACCGGGGACACGTATTTATGTATAACAGACATCAAAAAGTGTATTTTGCATGATAGGTCCCCTTTAATATTTCATGTGATTACACTGATGTTCTGGCCTTATTCAATAACAGCTTCAGTTTAGAGAAGTGGTTTCACCATTTGAACATTTTAAAAACAACCAATTGCAAATTAATGGTTAATTGTCGACTTAGGACAAAAACGCTTAAACTCAAAATCAACCTTTTAGCTTCTTTCAGGAGATTTCCACCATTTTCACTCATCTTTAAGACAACAAAGTCATGAAAGTGTAAACTGATCCATCTCCATTATTAGCATCTATATATCTTCCCAACTGATGAACACCTTGTGATCATCCCACTGAAGGTTCTGGACAACCGAGAAATAGAGAAGATATCCAACAAATTTAAAAGGTGAAAGCTGCTAGGTGAACCTTTCCTTGTTATAAGAGAAGAAAAGGCTCAGGAAAAAAAAACGTGTTTTCCTAGTTTTATTACAGAATTAGATCCAAAAACAAGAAAAACATCCAACAGTTCAGTGGGTACTGTTTTTAAGTAACAGAAATAAATGCTTATTTTTTAGACTTTAACACTTGGAGAGAAGTGACTCATTCTGCCATGATCATTGTAGATCAGAGTGTGGGGCAAAAATCTTCTAATATTGACCAAAAATCGAATGGCAAACGCGACCCACTGTCGGAGGGCCTCCGCGCCGGCCCGGCTTAGTGCCGGTGCTCTGGCGGTCGGTTCCTACGAACTGCGGGTTCGACTCTGATGGCCGGGAGGGTGTGCTGCGTTGGTGTGGGGGACTTCCCCCAC